GGACGGAAGCCTCTCCGATCTGCTGGGACACTTGTGGAGTAAGGCAAGGGGTGATGGCACCTCCCAGGGGTGCGCAGTCCCCAGTTGCTGCCCTAACACAGTGCTTGGTTTCATGTCCCCTGCAGAGCTCTGCGGATTGCACTGCGGTTGGGAGGAGGCTGAAGAGTGGGCTGCGCCTCAAATCGTGAGTGTCCCAGCAGCCTTGTGGGATGGTCATGGGGGCTTGGGGTACCCAGCCACCCCAGCACCCTGCAGCCCCATGGGAGGGTCAGTTTGGGTCTGATCTGCTTCACTGCCTTGCCCCAGGCATCCACCCTCCACAAGATCCCAGGGTGTGGAGTGGAAGGATGTTTCTTCTGCCCCTAGGGGGTAGGAAATTGGGTTCAACCTCCACCAAAGAAAGGGACAGGGGGACCTGGAAAAGGCAGCACAGGGCTGCATGCTCTCCAGTCTGACACCAATCTTCTCTCCTCTCTCAAAGGCGACATCTCCGGACCAGCCTCCGCAGGGGTACCAGGTCCTCCGCAGCACCCTGGGCCAACAGCACTGTCAGCCGCGCTCTGCTGGGCAACTTCGAGGTAACTGCACCCACCTGCCAGGGAGGGAGGTGGGTCCTGGGGGCCCCAGGCTGGGCTGGCGATGGGCATGAGAGCCTGAGCCTGATGGGATCCCTGGTGTGGGGCTGGGCTGGTTGTCCCCAAGGGCCCGGCACTCAGTGACTATGTCGCAGAGGCACCATCCACCAGCAGGGTGGCTCAGCCAGCAGATCCTTGGGTGATGTGGCAGGATGCTGAACTCTGCTGAGATTGCCACTGCAGAGCCAAGTGGCTGAGCCAAGGCACTTTCACTGCTTCTCTGTGTTGGATGGCTGGTTTTAGGCCACCAGTTCAGGATGGGTCTGTCTCAGAGTGAGCAGACAGGACCCCTCATGGGTGGTCTCTGGAAAGCTGGGAGACACGTGAGGGCAGCAGACATGTGGTTGTGATGGAGATGGGGGTGGTCTCACCTGCAGCTTTGAGGCAAGGGGCAGGGTGGGTGTCCTGTCCCTATTACTTACCTCTTCTCTCAGGAGTCCATCCTGAAGGGGCGCTTTGCACCGTCGGGGAGGATCGAGGGGTTCATGGCGGAGATTGGTGCCAGTGGCTCGTACTGCCCCCAGCACGTCACCCTGCCTGTTGACGTCACCTACTTCGACATCTCTGAACACAGCGTGCCCTCACCTTTCCTGGTACGCGGACAGGGAGGGCTGGGACCGTGGGGGAGGTGAGTGGGGCTCTACCAAGGCACTGAGAATCCTGGGGGCTGCTCCTCTTTAGAGAGCACGGCTCGAGCAACCACCTGTCTGAAGAGACCACTGGCAGTGCCAGGAGCAGTGTTTAACCCAAAAAAAACAAAGAGGGAAAGAAGCAGGAACCCTTGCAGGCATATAAACATGCAGGCTGCTGTTCAGCCAACTCATGGCTGTTGCTTTACCATCACTGCTGCGTTACTGCTTGCTTGTTCCCCAGGCTGGAGAGGGACCGATCTGGGCATCTTCTTGCCGCCTTGTGCCAGGTATTCCCAGCAAGAGAGGCTCTCGGCCCTGTGCCAGGTCTCAGCTGGGCTCTCCGTGGGCTGCTTCCTCTCTGACATGCTGGGTTTTTTTGTCCCAGGGAGTGATTGACTTGGAGGCCTTGGGAAAGAAGGGTTACAATGTCCCCAAAGCTGGAACCATCCAAGTGGTGAGTTGTTCCCTGGCCTCCATTGGGAGGGTGCTGGGTGGGCTCTGGTTGCCCCCCAGGGTGGATGTGCTCCATTAGATTGCTTGGCAGGGCAGCAGCCAGAAAGCTTGTGCAGGGGGGGTACATGGCCACCAAGACAGCACAGCGGAGGGGAGCATGGGTTCCCGGGGGTGCTGGCAGGGAAACAAGGTCAAGGGAAATGCAGGGAAGGAAGAGGTTGGTGGGGAGGGACAGGGTCTTGCCAGGAGAGTGTGTACATGCAGTGGGGATGGGATGGAGCACGGGAGTGGAGGGAGGTGGGAAGGTCTGGCCTGTGGCCTCAGGCTTAGCCCTCGGGGCTGGTGTGGGGCATTCTGGACCTTTGAGCCCACTGGTGCTGCCTGTAGATGCCCCAGTCCTGCTCTGTGGATCCATTCCTGTGCCCATCCCAGTCTCACTCCCTACTCCTCTGCCCCCAGACCTTATTTAACCCCAACAAGACTGTGGTGAAGATGTTCTTGGTGACATACGACTTCCAGGACATGCCGGCCAACCACATGACCGTCTTACGCCATCGTATCTCTGTGGGGGAGGAGGAGGGGGCCACCATGGCCCCCAGCAACCCGCTGGGCACTGGCCCACCCCGCAGGGTCCTCTGCTACCTGATGCACCTAAGGTAGGGCATGTGAGGATGGATGGATGCCTGCCCCAGGGTCACCCCTGCGCTCTTCTCCCATGCATTTCTGCCTTCCCCAAACCTTCAAGCTGGAGCAGGGGGGTGGCAGCCCAATCCCATCACCCTGGGGTGGAGCAGGGACTGGCTGCTCCTTTGGGGAGATCAGAGCTGCCACCCTGCCCAAGGGCAGCCATCTCTGTCCCTGTGAAGGCCATGGGAGCATAGCCACCTTGACCAGGAGCTAAAGTAGGCGAGGGGGTCAGCCCCCCACTGAGGTTGTCCTGGCCTTTCCTGGGAGCCTGAGGTCCCTCTGCCCTGCTCTCATCTCCACGCAGGTTTCACAGCTCCAAGTCAGGGAAGATCTACCTTCATGACGACATCCGGCTGCTTTTCTCTCGCAAGTCAATCGAGGTCGATTCGGGGATCCCCTACGAACTGAAATCCTTCACGGAGATGCCGAGGAACCCCTGCTACTCGCCCCGGGCCTGATCTCCATCCCCCAGGAAGCTTCCAGCCCAGCACTTTGGGGATAGATGGGTAAAGGGCCAGCAAGAAAGAACTGCCTTGAAATATTGCTCTCCCCATGCACCCCTGTCCTCCTGAGCAACACGGATGCCATGCCTATGCCCTGTGGCAGGGCTGGGATCACGAAAGGGGATTCACCAGGAGAGTCAGGGGCTGGGGAGCAGCCCTGCACTCCAGGGACATGCCCAAGCCTTCTGCTGGCTCTGCTCCCATCTTAGAGACTTGGCTGGAACTGGGGTGGGGGAAGTTGAGTGGGAGGCTCTGGATGAGGCTCCCCATGCTGGTTCTGGGGTTGGGAGCAGAAAGTGCAGAAAAGTTTGTATTTATTAGTATTTATTGTTGCTGGGATAGCAGAGGAGGCTTGTGCAGAGGATCAGAGGTGCTGTGCTGTTCTTTTCCCTTACCCTGTCAGTGCTGGATGAGGCTCCTGGCACTGTGGGGCTGCTGGGTTCAGGCAGCACTGCAGGGACTGTAAGGGTGACTGGGGACCGGGACCCATCGGGATTTGGAAGAGAGGGTGACTCACCTCTCAGCCAGGGTGAGACACAACACAGGTTTCCTGTGTTGAAAACCCTGGGAGAGGCCGAGACTTGCTGGACACCAGCTCTGCAGACAGCTTGGGGAGGCTTGGACTTGCCCTCCCACCGCATTAGGGCAAACCAGATCCCAGGAAGTCTGTGGGTGGCAGGGACGTGGCCATTGGCACAGGGCGCGGGGGCTAGGAAAGGTGGCTGTCCCTGGATTTGGGGCTCACTGCGGGAGCATGGATACAGTCCCCCTGTTTGGAGCCTCTGGAGCCCACATGTTCTCTGAATCTGAGAGAGGGCGGAGTTTGCCAAAAAATCAGAGCCTTGCACCGTCTGCATGCGTGGGGTGAATCCCATCCAGGAGACAGCTTTGGGCAGGGGCCCACTGCAGTGTGATGGGGACTGGAGGACAAGCAGGAGCCCTAGCTTAGTCCTCCACTGATCTGGAGCAGTCCCTTTTTTTTTGGCCTCGGGTGCTGTGGGCCAAGCCCAGAGGCCAGACAGGCAAGAGGGGAAGGGAAAACAGAGCTCGCAGGTACCCTGCCTGCGTCACCCCACGATCAGGGGGCTCTCCCAGGTTCCTGGTGCCAGCTCAGGCTGCAGGGAGCCCCACACTCTCTCTGTAAGGGGAGGAAGAGAGGGACAGGTCCCCACTCCAGCCTGCGTGGGGCTGCGACC